AGAAGACAGTACTTTTGTGTAGAGCAGTGTGTTTAATGTATGTTACAATGTTTTTAAATTTGATGATAGTTTTTTACTGGAGCCATTAAGAAATTCAGCCTATAGTAACACTATAGACTATCAAGAATGTCGTAAGAGGCGATCAATGAGGGTTGGCATGACATTGGATCCTATAAATAGCTTAAACTGCGAAGTTTCACAACATCTGGGTTCATCTGGATAGAGATTCGACATCACAGCATTCAGGACAAGCCCATATTAGCTCGGTCTCCCTCCTCAACAACCAGCAAAGAGTTTCCATACTGATAGTACCTGTTTTTTTTTTCTGGTTAACTACTCGTCTTGCCTTCCCCCTGAGTCTTGAGTGGCTCCCAGAGCCCACAGCCACTCATCGCAGTATCATTCTCTCCATGTACGGATTTTCCATGTCTTCCAGTTCACCTGTTACCCTGTCCCACAGGTTTGAGATCACCTGTGCCTTGTACAGTTGCAGCCCCCCCCCCCTCCCTCCAATGGGGCCTTTTCAGCCAGCCTATCTGCATGCTTGTTCCCAAACACAACCCGGGATAAGCATCGATGCGACTCTCAACATATGCAACTTCTGGATTGATGTAGTCCATCCCATATGATGAAAACTTAACTCTACATTTCTGAGCATGGTTTGCGAATCCGACACTATGAAAACATTTATGGCTGAGATATTTTTTACCCATCGGAACGCCGCAGTTACCGCCTCAAACTCCATTCTCATGCTGGATGTCGTATAGCAAGTTCTCTTCAGCTATCCTTCTCCTCTTTGCTTTTGCAACGAAACCCCATCCACGTTTCCTGCCCCTGACAACAGACCCGTTGGTGCAAATAATCACATCTCCTGACCTTGAGTTGTCCTCTATGAGTTCTTGAACCTCTGCATCTGCACGTCTGGCAGCCCATTCCCTGCACTCTCGTCCCCAGGTAATTACCACTTTGTGCAGCTCTTCCCTGCCCTCTGGTACCTTTACCCATTCTTCTCCTAGGGCAATTTCTAGAATTTTTCAGACCCTGTTGATTGTCTTTTTAGCCAGGGCCATTCAGGAGCAGTCCCTTTTTAGTTTATCACCCTTTACAGTGTCCATTTCTCTGTGCAAGATATGCTCCATGGTGTTTGCCACTGTAAGATAGTACCCAACCTGCAGTATACTATGTTTACCTGATAACAAGCTCAACTTCAAGCGAGGTGCTTGTATTTTCCGGTTCATTTCCTGGTGGTCATTGTAGACAGGGTCCACCTAAAAGCCCAGGTAAATCTTCCACATTCACCTCCTTTGGGATACAAACCCATTTGCATCGGTTCGGAATATAAGCACATTAACCACTGTGGTGTGAGACTCAATAACCACTTAAATTACAAAGAACGATAACCCATGTAGTTTCTTTTTTCAGGTTTGAGCCGAACACAAATCGTGGTTATCTCCACTTGCTCGGGTATCATTGGCATGTTCTTCCTGATTGCTGCATTTCTCAGACTAAGGTGAGTTCATACCTCAGAGTCATATGAAATATCATTATGTTGAGGTAAGTTATTTCACACTGAGGTGAGTTATAAGCTGAGACTCGGGTAAATTTTTATCACATACTGAGGTAGCGTTATAATCTCAGACTGAGGTAAGTTATCACCTCAGACTGACGTAAGATATCATCTCAGATTCACGTAAATTATCATCTCAGACTGGTGTAAGTTATCATTTCTTACTGAGGTAAGCTACCATCTCAGACTAACGTTAAAAATCATCTCAGACTTGGGTAAGTTATCATTTCAGAATTATATAAGTTATCTTAGACTAAGGTAAGTTATGAAACCAGACTGAAGTAATTTATCACCCCAGACTGAGGTAAGTATCACAAAGCGTTTTCTTCTTAGTCGTCGTTTCCTGACAATAAAGACATGCTTATCAACAATTTAGGAACAGAAACTCCTGACAGAGCTGTAGTTAGCATGCTAGCCTGCCAGCTCAGTGGCAAGAGGTTCAAGTACCAGTCAGTGAGGATTTTTTCTTTTAAATCTTCCAGTTTGACCGCCCAGTTTGGATCCATAGAAAGGTCATGGGAAGGAATGGCGACCGAGGAGATACAGATATCACCTAGTGAACGGCCAACCTTTGTCTGAACAAGTTGTTTTCAACCTGGATGAGTGCCTTTCAAGGGGGGTTTGGTTAGGAGGGATTGGGGGGGGGGGGGAGTTTGGGTTGGATGGCGAAAAAACGAAATTGTTTGTATTTGTAAACACCCGTGTTGGGTTCCCAGACCACATTAGAAACGTCATGCCCCTCTGGAAGACTCTCAACAAACTTCAGAGCAGCAAGCAACTATTACTTCAGCCACCTGAAAGGCAACCCACCTGATGGTCTGATCTGGGGATACGAAACCGAATGCAAAGAAGAGGAAGAAGGAGATGTAGTGAGTTTGCTTTTGTAATTCCCCGTGTGGCTACCGGCATCCTATTGTAAAGGAAAACAAGAATAACCCCACTTCCTTCCTAACATGCATGTCGTAATAGTAAACTAATTGGGGGCTACCTTTGAAGTCGGAGTGCATCTGCCTGAGAGAAAAGGAATCAGCAGATTGCACATAAATAAGCCAGATTTGTGAAACGGATGTGTATGCAACATTAAGGTTCTGAAACAAGAGTTAAGCTCAGAAGCGGACGAACCACCAAAACGTTCCGCTGGACCTTACATTAGGTGAACGCGAAGAAGAGTGAAGAAGACGTGTTTGTAATAATCTGACTAATTCACTCTTCTCCCTTTAGTATAATTGTCAATAAAATATTGGTGAAAACGATTTATAAAACAAAAAGCCAAGAAGGGTTTTCTTTTCAGGAGTGTACATCTACCGTTAAAAATATAACTATTGGGATTAGACGTCCTCCTCTTTTTAATTTACATTTTTATAAGAGGAGGGAGAGACGGAAAGGTGGGCAAGGGGGAAAATTCTAATCTTACTAAATATTCAGGAGGGGTGCCAACTAACAATTCATCTCTTTCCAACGGTCTAAACAATATATAAAACAGCAACATATACGTCCACCCCCTTCCCTCTTTCCAACGGCCTAAACAATATATAGAACAGGAACAAATACGTCCACCCCTTCCCCTCTTTCCAACAGTCTAAACAATATACAGAACAGTAACATAAACAATAAAAAAAAAAAAGGATCTTAAGTTTCTTTTCGTTTTCACGGAGCCGCGGTGGCGTAGCTAGACGCTTACATGCAGGTCAGAAGGTCTAGGATTCAAATCCACAACGAGGCTGCCTGTTTTTCATAAATGACCTTGGCGCCCAGGTCGACATTGCCTAAAATGGGTTCCTGGTAATGTCCCGGGAAGTAAAGGCAACCGGCGTGACGTCGAATGCATCACTAAACATGTGGCATAAGGACCCTTTACATGCCGGTGGAAACTCGGGCATGTCCCATGTTCCATTTTTATGTAAAGAGTCTTTATGCCCCATGTTCCATTAGTATGTAAAGAATCCTTATGTCCCATGTTCCATTAGTATGTAAAGGGTCCTTATGTCCCATGTTCCATTAGTATGTAAAGGGTCCTTATGCCCCATGTTCCATTAGTATGTAAAGAGTCCTTATGTCCCATGTTCCATTAGTATGTAAAGAGTCCTTATGCCCCATGTTCCATTAGTATGTAAAGAGTCCTTATGCCCCATGTTCCATTAGTATGTAAAGAGTCCTTATGCCCCATGTTCCATTAGTATGTAAAGAGTCCTTATGTCCCATGTTCCATTAGTATGTAAAGAGTCCTTATGCCCCATGTTCCATTAGTATGTAAAGAGTCATTATGTCCCATGTTCCATTAGTATGTAAAGAGTCCTTATGCCCCATGTTCCATTAGTATGTAAAGGGTCCTTATGCCCCATGTTACATTAGTATGTAAAGGGTCATTATGTCCCATGTTCCATTTTTATGTAAAGAGTCCTTAACTCCCGTGTTCCATTAGTATGTAAAGGGTCCTTATGCCCTATGCTCTGTTGGTATGTCAAGGGTCCTTATGCCCTATGCTCCGTTGGTATGTCAAGGGTCCTTATGCCCTATGCTTCGTTGGTATGTCTAGGGTCCTTATGCCCTATGCTCCGTTGGTATGTCAAGGGTCCTTATGTTCGATGTTACACCAGCATGTGAAGGGTCTTTATGCCCCGATGTTCTACTGGTGGGTAAAGAGTTCTTATGCCCGATGTTCTACTGGTGTGTGAAGAGTTCTTATACTCAACGTTCTACTGGTGTGTAAAGGGTCGTTATGTCCGTTGTTTCACTGGTGTGTAAAAGGTCCTTACGTTCCATGCTCAACTGGTATGTAAAGGGTCCTTATGCCCCATGTTCTATTGGTATGTAAAGGGTCCTTATGCCCCATGTTCCATTGGTATGTAAAGGGTCCTTATGCCCCATGTTCCATTGGTATGTAAAGGGTCCCTATATCAGATGTTCCATTGGTATGTAAAGGGTCCTTATGTACAATGTTCTATCGGTGTGTAAAGGGTCCTTATGTCCGATGCTCCACTGGGATGTAAAGGGTCTTTATGCTCCATGTTCCACTGGTATGTAGAGGGTACTTATACCCGATGTTCCACTGGTATGTAGAGGGTACTTATACCCGATGTTCCACTGGTATGTAGAGGGTACTTATACCCGATGTTCCACTGGTATGTAGAGGGTACTTATACCCGATGTTCCACTGGTATGTAGAGGGTACTTATACCCGATGTTCCACTGGTATGTAGAATGTCCCTATTTCTGATTTTCAGCTGGTGTTTAAAGGGTCTTTATGTAAGATGTTCCACTTGTATGTTAAGGGTACTTATACTCGATGTTCCACTTGTGTGTAAAGGGTAATTATGTCCGATGTCCCACTGGCATGTAAAGGGTCATTAATCCCGATGATCCACTGGCTGTAAGGTGCCTTTTATTACTTACTTATTTGCTTTCGGTTGCTTCACCAATCTCTACTCCCCAGGAATTACATAAAAAGATCTCGCATGGAGCAAGAGATGGCTCGGCGACCAAAGTTCAGGTCCTGTAGTGTCGCACTCCGTGGGGCGGCCCCATCTTCAGAACAGCTGAGGCGCGACTCCGTGAGCAGCAGGGCTAGTCACCAGGTAAACTAGTCTTGCGAGAGCCTACGAAGCCACGTTTGATGCATTCACATGTATTGTTAGACGTTTGTAGAAGGTGAGTAAGAAGTATTGACGTTAGACGACATATTGACCCAGGGCTGGAAAACTGTTTTTTTTTTTAATGCTAATAAATATTTATCTGGGTATGACGTCCTTTGTAGGCCGTACATAATTATTTGGCCATTCAGTGTATATAGCTTTGAGGCTACGAGCGCGTTTCATAACTCCAAAATATTTGATTCGACGGACAGACAAAGCGGTAGAGTGAGAGACTACACACAGATGTACAAAGAGGCACGCAGAGAATCAAGGAGATAGTCAGAGAGAAAGCAGACAAACAGGGACACTTACAGATAGACAGATGGTAGATATAACAATATAGAGACAGCACGACAACAGACAGACGGTCAGGTTGAAGGACCGACAGACAGACATCAGGCAGACGGACGCACGGACAGACAGATAGACAGACACACACCCACACAAACACACACACACAACACAGATATATATATATATATATATATATATATATATATATATATATATATATATATATATACATACAGATAGAACAGACAGATATATAGACATACAGACAGACAGACAGACAGACAGACAGACAGACAGACAGACAGACAGACAGACAGACAGACAGACAGACAGACAGACAGACAGACAGACAGACAGACAGACAGACAGACAGACAGACAGACAGACAGACAGACAGACAGACAGACAGACAGACAGACAGACAGACAGACAGACAGACAGACAAGAGATATAATTTTAGATTTTACAACAGTGCTGGCTGTTGAAGATTGGGACAGAGCGCTGAATGGAATGTCTCGAGTGCTATGATGTCGGTTCTTAGCTCTATTCAACTCAAGTCATTTCAATATAACTCAACTCAATCCAACTCAACTCAACAATTATCAAAAAGAAGGCACACCAAACAACATTTGTTTTCTAGACACAGCTAAAATCGATGAATGGACAATATTTTTACATCCCCAGACCAGATTACTAATTGGCTGTCTCACTTCTGCAGTGCGGCCAGCTGTGAAGGAAGAAAATCCCCTCTCAGCAATCATATGTTTTCTTTCCTAAAACCCAAACAACAGACCATGGATGTCGTTCTATGCCGTCTGTTAGAATAGAGCCCTTCTGACAATGTTTGATAAAATAAAACTGAATATTGATTTAGGAATCTACAGTAATGAGTCGCCAATATCTAGTCAAAGCAAAGATGGCTAGCATTGACGGCGAGAACATGGCATGGGATAAGAAGCTCACGTTTAACGAACAATGAGGATCGTGGGTCGTGAGGGTTGCTATGGAGACGTACACGACTGTCTCTATGAGCTGCTTAGAGCAGTTATGTCCTAGCTGTGATGTAGACGCATAGGCAGGAGAAGAAACCGCACAACGGAGAAGAAACCGCACAACGGAGAAGAAACCGCACAACGGAAAAGAAACCGCACAACGGAAAAGAAACCGCACAACGGAAAAGAAACCGCACAACGGAAAAGAAACCGCATAACGGAAAAGAAACCGCACAACGGAAAAGAAACCGCACAACGGAAAAGAAACCGCACAACGGAAAAGAAACCGCACAACGGAAAAGAAACCGCACAACGGAAAAGAAACCGCACAACGGAAAAGAAACCGCACAACGGAAAAGAAACCGCACAACGGAGAAGAAACCGCACAACAGAAAAGAAACCGCAAACGATGTATTCAAATAGCTCTTATTGATGAAAATATTACTGAATGAGGTAAGGTTAAATAAACGAGGTCATTGAGAAAAGAAAGAGAAGTATTGGGGGAGCTAGCTCTCCTCTGACAGCATGAAACAATCCCCACCAGCACAAAAAAACATTTCATACAAAAGTTTTTTCATTCCAACCCTAATAATGCCAGTGCCAGACGTGGTCCCTCACAATAGACCAGAAGTGGACATAAGATGTCTGAGAAAGGCTGCAGAGGTGACCGGAGCAGATCAAAACAGGGTTGAGGTCACAAAAGAACAAAAAGTCGTCACAGAAAAAATTCTAAATTACATACAAAGACTTCAATCCAAATGATTTGACCACTTTAGCGAGAATGTCTCATGACACCACACCTCAAAGATGAGAAGGACGTAGATCACGAAGTAGAGCAAGAACGGGACGAAAAGATAACATCAGAAAGGCTCTATAACAAAACGATGTGTCAGTGATCAAGGCGGTCTGAAGAGCAAGAGGCAAAAACTTAAAAAAGGGGAGGTGAAAAAAGAAGAAGAAAACGAAGAAAAAGAAGAAAAAAAAGTAGAAGCATAGGGAGAGATGCGGTTCTTTACTGAAGCATCTGCTGGAAGAAAATGTAGGAGAAGAGTGAAAAGGACGTCAACGTTACCTGTGGATGGATAAGATCAAAGACTAGAAGAAGCCTGAATGCCTAGTTTAGACACAAGAATGGAGGGTGTTCAATTTTCTTCTTCGCTTTCAGCGGCTGTAAACACCGGTGGGAAATGTTGGGTGTTCATCCAGCTCTTGACTTGAGTCTTGTTCCAGAACCAGAGTCTTACGTGCTTATCCGTTTTACAAATCTGGCTTCTTTGTATACAGACTTTTGGTTCCCTGGCTTTCAGACAGATGCCTCCGACTTCGAAGGATGCCTCCAATTAGTCGACTCTTATGACATGCATGTTAAGGAGACCGTGGATCTGCTTCCCCCCCCCCCCCCAATAATGGGGTCCCTGAACCCACACAGGGAACACTGTTCATAAGTATTTCAAGGGACAAGAACCTAAAGGCTCATGCAACTTTTCAGGAGGCCGCTTATTTTTCAAGAAAATTTGCAAGAGGGCTAAATAGTCCCGTAACCATGTATAGATACTCTAACTTTATAGCATTTGTTGCACATTTCATATTAATCAAAACTTATTGCAGTGGTACATCGCTATACGTTTCCTTATGTATACTTTCAACTTGGTATACGCCTTGTTTAGACACAAAAAAACTCTGCTTGGTATAAGACCTTTGCTTGGAATACAACCCGCATGATAGAACTTGAAAGTCAAAATTTGTTACGGCACCGCCCGCTATTTTTGTTTACCTCTCTTGAGACAAAGGATTTGATAGATGTCTGTATCTTTAAAGAGAGGTATCTCCACAACAGAGCACAAACACGCAAATCCACAGCCTGGGATATTTTTCACACTCATGGAACACATTTAGATAATTCTCTATGACGTTATACTATGTATTCTGATACCCCTGGTCCCCGGGTAGGCTCCCGTGTCCCATTTTGGAAGCATACAAAAATAGATAAACTGCTCCTTAACAACTGTAAACCACAAACCTAATGTACCAGTTGTTCTTTTGAAGACGAAGTCAGAAGATGAAGATGAAGAAGAAGAAGAAGAAGAAGAAGAAGAAGAAGAAGAAGAAGAAGAAGAAGAAGAAGAAGAAGAAGAAGAAGAAGAAGAAGAAGAAGAAGAAGAAGAAGAATCTTTTGTGCTTCTTCGAGAATAATTTTAACATGTAAGTTTATTTGCGTTGTTAATTTTATTACTTCTGTTGTTGAAGTAATTTATTTTAACATTCTTGTGTATTTAGTAGGGCTGTGCCGAATATTCGCTTCGTATTCGCTTAGGGGCCAAATAGTGGACCTAATAACTATTCGGTATTCGGCCGACTAGTTACGGTCGGGCCGAATACGAATAGTTGTTACATTACACCCGTTTCTGCATACACTGCGATGGACTGAAATAACTCTCTCGTTAACACAATCGTTGCTGTTGCCAAAGTCTGTCGTAGCAGGGGAACTACGACCCGGTTGCGTGGTACAAACTGCATAAAGAACCAACCGCAGTGTGTGTGTGTGTGTGTGTGTGTGTGTGTGTGTGTGTGTGTGAGAGAGAGAGAGAGAGAGAAAGAGAGGGGGGGGGGGGCGGAGAAAGAGATCAAGCATTTTTCGTTCTTTCAGCGTGTCTACGCCCAAATCAAATTTGAAGAGAATTTCTAACGAGAATATGAAGGTGCGTTTAAATTACATCGAACGAACGGCAGAGCGAACGATGGTTTTGAAAGAGGTGGGAGCCCGAAGACAACTAATCACAGTCATCAGAAGGAGACAGGCGTCATTTTTCGGCAATGTTATGAGAAGAGGGAAAATGGAACATGTGGTGACCAGTGGAAAGATCTGTGGAAGAAGGGATAGACGAAGACAGCGATAGAAGATACTTAAGAGTCCTGTTGCACGGCATGGAGGCGTGTCAGCACACGAACGGATACATGCTGCAGGAGATCGCAGATTGTGGAGAGGCATGATCGCCCACGCCAGTCAGCAAGGCACCTGATGATAATGATACACTATTCGTATTCGGCTGAATAGTTTGTCCCACTATTCGTATTCGGCCGAATAGTGAAAATCACTATTCGGTACAGCCTTAGTATTTAATACTTCTATGCACTGACGTTTGCTACTTCTATAAACTGACGTGGCACATTTTCACAGTAAATTTAATTTTATCTTTCCTATTTTCAGAATAGTCTGCTGACCCAAGGAAGCAACAGTAACATCATGAATAGCTCACAAAGGAAATTCTCTGCCAACTCCCAACTGGACCAAGCATCACTGCTGACAAACAGCAAGTCTGTACATGCACTGGACATCTCAACCCTCGCAGGCTCGCATTCATCTTTGAAATACATTGACGAGATTTCGCTGACTCCAAAAACGAAGGTGAGACTGCGACTAGTGGAGAGTTGATAGGTTTGTACAGTGGAGTTGCTAGGTTTGTTTAGTGGAATTGGTAGGTTCTTACTGTGGAGTTTGTAGGTTTGTATAGTGAAGTTGGTAAGTTTGTATAGTTTACTTTCAGACAAGCATGATGGTGCGTAGATAGTTATGATATGGAGAGAAGGAGGAGGAAGAAGAAGAAGAAGAAGAAGAAGAAGAAGAAGAAGAAGAAGAAGAAGAAGAAGAAGAAGAAGAAGAAGAAGAAGCAGAAGAAGAAGACAGAATTCAGTTTTGAACTATTTAAATAGTAGACACATAAAGCATTACACCTGGGCAAACAATATCAAAACCTTTACTGAAACTAGCCTGCATAAATACACCCCGAAAACACAGAGCCCTGAGTGTTCGGTCTTCACCACAGCCAATTCACAATGTGTAGCCAGCACCTGATGATGATAAGGATAATGATGTTGATGATGATGATGCGCAGTTGTTTGTGAAGACATGACCCCATCAAGTGCCAAAATGTTGTGCAAGCTATAAATACATAACAAAAGTCGGTCAGAACAGGGTATTTCCGACTGCTATGTGACAACTCCCAGGAGGTCACAGAGGGAAAACCCCCCTGTCACATTTGTTTTTCTTGTACAATATACAGCACAATTCGGTCAGTGTTTTGCTGGTTAGCTTCTGGGGTCCCCTTCAGGCTGTGAATACAATTTCTTGTCCATGAGAACTGGTTTCTCCTGTCAAAACAAAATCATAGACACAGTTTGTATATTATGTAGATCAATTGCTGCAATTATCAGCCTGTCGACTTTGTCAGTTACATTCGTTTACACTGCGCGTTATGTTAGAGTATCATCATCATCGTTTTGTGTCGTTGAACATCACGGTGTATTCTTCAATTCGTGTAAAGGAAACTACACGCCAGTGTGATATCGTTATATACACAGTTGGATGAGTAATTAGTTAGTTGGGTTATCATCATTGCACTCCGGACATGTCCATAGGTGCTCAGATCCTCCCCTTAGTATGAACCCCAACGTCCGATGGCTAATAGTACCAGATCTATGTCGATTAACAAGTCTTCTGACGTGTCTGATGTGCGTCTCGTTTTTTGCTATGCCGATCTTAATTCCCAAGTCTGCCATTCTGGCGTGCGATGTGGATTCACTGCCACAAAAGTCCTTTATACTTCCCATTTATCTGAGGGCATTAATAATATCGGTATGATCCATAGGCTGACCGTCGGTAGTAATAGCGGATCCAGCCAACCTGTCAGCTCTTTCATTTCCATCGACGCCTGCGTGTCCCGGAACAAAAATAAAGGTGACTCCACGCACAGTGGACTTCTGTAATGATTCAAGCCATTGTAGTTGGATGAGTAGTACCAGGTTAAAACAAACAGGGGCTGGGATGTCACTGCAAAGAAGACTGGAACATGTTGAAAAAGAATGTCTTGCGTATAACGTTACGACATAAAGCATGAATTATATTAAAAGATCCCGCTTGAGAAGGGAGGTTGAAACAGCAACGGCAACTCTCCGATGGTGGTAGAGTAGCCAGCCCGACGCACAATTGTAATTGACTCGCAGAGTATGCTTCGGAAAACAGACATGGGTGTCTTGCACTTAGGGCGGCTTGTATCGCAACCAGAATGTTGAGCTGTGCATGGTAATGGCAAGGCTGACAGACTGACAGCTGCCGCCCCTCTGGGCGGTGAACTACATTATAATAAAGGCTCTCTGGGATCAAGTAAACGATGCAGTAGAGCAGACCCAGTATCCATATCAAGATAAGAGGATAGAGATGGGTATGAGCAGAAAGAGGACCTGTACGACTTTCTACTCGCAGGGTGAAAAACAGCACTAGGCGAAAGTTTCGTCAGGCTGCAACTGGCACTACCTGTAGGGAAAGGCTTGGTTGACTAGTACTATGGGAATTCCCGACAGCATGATGCCAATTCTGGATTCATTCATTAATTCATTCTTCATTTCCACTCTATCTTATGCAATTTTTTTTTTCAATATCATGAATGAAATCCAGGAAGGAGCTCCAGCTTTTGTTATAACATTTTTTATTTTTATTTTTGTAGTTTTAGGACATCTTCGTTTCCTTAAAGCAGGTGTTTCGTATTAAAGAGCGTGTTTGGTATTTCTCTGTTCGCTTATCTTCAAAGTGTTCCCAATATGTCGCCTTCTTGTGTCTAAAAACCATATTTTTCTTCTTCTGATTTCTTCGCCTCTCTGGAATTTATCAAATGTAATAGCCCAGAACAAAAAGAACATGAGAGAAGACTAACCACCTGTGAAATGAGATGTTTGAGAATGGCTGCGAATAAAACCAGAAGAGATCGAGTGAGAAACGATGTGATTACAAGAACTATTGGAACCATACCCATCGTTAAATTTATTGAGAAGCAAAGAATGAAATGGTTTGGTCACCTAATGAGAATGGAACCAACGATGCCAGCATCAAGAGCATACAACATGAAAATCGAAACAACAAGAGGCAGGGGAAGACCAAGAAGAAGATGGATTGAAGGAGTCACAGACAACTTGACACTTCATAACATCACGGCATGTGAAGCGACTGAGCGCGCCCTGGCTCGGTTGCCGATCATCTGATAGACTGCGACGCCTAGCGGCACAAGCAGATTTTGACAAAAGAAGAATAGCCCAGGACGGTTTTCTACCAAGCTAAGCCTAATCCCAGACAGTTTGTGTTGCGCTGAATCGTGACCTGGTCATAACATAACATGGCAGCTAGGGTATAGAAATGGTTGGCACTACTTGATACTATCTTTAAAAACCATTGGTTCCATCCCTCCGCCAGCAAGTAAACCCAGCAAAATCCACGCTAGGATATATTCTGGGAATATTTTCACAATGTTTTCAGAGACCAGTCAGTATTCAATGTGCAGTGTCGTTAGTGCATGTCTTTCTGTGATATTTCTGGATACACATTTTAGACATTTCTTTTAAAACTGCCAAATGCAATTATTGTCTGTGTTTATCACTTTTGCGTTGTAGGCGGAGGAGCGGAAAAAAGGGAGGTGGGGGAGGGGGTGGGGAGATCCTTTGAGCCTTTTTTTTTGAGACAGACCTTTACAACAACATAAAAAAAAAAAAGGATTGCATTAGTTAGAATGGAGGACATGACTGCTAGCAATATATATAGGCCATAACATGATGATGAAGATTATGATTTGATACTGGATCAACTGGCAGCACATATCAATACACACACACACACACACACACACACATATATATATATATATATATATATATATATATATATGCACACACACACACACACATACACAAACTCAGACATTAGACTTGATAAAGATTTGAAAATGTGACTACAGGACTGATTAACGGGCTCAAGAAATACCCAAGACTTCCGGTGTGTAGGCCGAATGGAAAGAAACCGGACATAGAATAACAAGAAGAAGAAAAAAAAAGAAGAAGAAGAAGAAGAAAAAAAAGAAAGAAGAAGAAGATGAAGAAGGAGGAGGAGAAGGGGAGGAGGTGACGAACAAGAAAAAGAAGGAGACAAAGAAGAAGAAGGAGGAGAAGAAGAAGTAGAAGAAGAAGAAGAAGAAGAAGAAGAAGAAGAAGAAGAAGAAGAAGAAGAAGAAGAAGAAGAAGAAGAAGAAAAAGAAGAAGAAACAGAATAATAATAAGAAGAAAAAGAAGAAGAGGAGGGGAGAAAAAAGAAGAGGAAGAGAATGAGGAGGAGAATGAGAAGAAGAAGAAGAAGAAGAAGAAGAAGAAAGAAGAAGAAAAGAAGAAGAGAAGAAGAAGAAGAAGAAGAAGAAGAAGAAAGAAGAAGAAAGAAGAAGAAGAAGAAGAAGAAGAAGAAGAAGAAGAAGAAGAAGAAGAAGAAGAAGAAGAAGAAGAAGAAGAAAAAGAAGAAGAAACAGAATAATAATAAGAAGAAAAAGAAGAAGAGGAGGGGAGAAAAAAAGAAGAGGAAGAGAATGAGGAGGAGAATGAGAAGAAGAAGAAGAAGAAGAAGAAGAAGAAGAAGAAGAAGAAGAAGAAGAAGAAGAAGAAGAAGAAGAAGAAAAAGAAGAAGAAGAAGAAGAAAAAGAAGACGACGAAGAACTAGCCACAGAGGAGCTAAATATGTATGTGATTGTAAATACTGTTGTAAATCTGTGTTAGTGAACTCATCCCACTAAAGTAATATTCTGCATTTCTGTTTTCCTTCAAGGAAATTCCCCTGTCATTCGTTGCAAACATCAACAACATGAAGAGATATTTTCCCAAAGAGGTTTGTCTAGTTCATCAGGCACAAACTTCACTGGGCACCTCACCTCTGCTTGCCACCGAAGCTGGATTAGTGATTAACAGCACAATTATTCCCAAGACCTGGAAAAACTCTGGTCGGTCCAGTGTGTGTAACACAGGTGGACACTTAAACCAAGTCTCCAGCACGGGTAGTTTTAAAGGCCGCATGATGGAAGGAGCAGTGAGTTCTGATGTGGATCAATTACATGTGATGCCCAGGGTAAGGTGGATCCAAATAACAGGGGACGACAGGAGCTCTGAAGCAAATCTAAGAACGTTTACGAAGTCAAGAAGTACAGGGCAGCTTGGGCAACGTAACACCGCTCATTCAAACTGCAGACTTGAAACTGGCGCTTCTCCTAATACTGGATGTACAGAAATGGGACAAGTCAAGCATCGAATCTATAGATCACAGGCGAAGAAAGCAATTGCTAAAGATGTTTTCACTGCAGAACCTAATTCACCGCAAGTATTGTTCGGGTACAGTTCAGAAGAATCTGTGAGTTTTGATTCTGAAATGTTGAAAAATGAGCTAGCGATTAAAGATTAGGACACACGCGACAAGAAGAATCTGTGACGTTTTGATTTTCTTTTGAGTTCCCACAATGACCGATTTTGAAAAATGAGCTAGCGATTAAAGATTAGGACACACGCGACAAGAAACTCAGGGAAGACTTGTTGACGAATAATTTTGAGACG